GCCGTAATCAATACACCGGTCCGGAGGCCGAACGCGCGTCCCTCGACGACAGGGTCAGGTAGTGTTTACGTCAAGCATCCATCATCAAGGCCTCGAAGTCGACTTGAAACTCGTCCTATCATCCAATCCGTGAGCGGTCTCATTCCTCCAGCTCTGCTCTGACGGCTTGCACTGATGAATGCATAAGGTCAGGCGACGGCAATGACATCCCTACAAAGTCTGCAGGCGGACGTTTTGAGCGAAATATTCGAATGGCTTGCTGTCATCTTTCCGCCGGAGCAGGGTAATTACAAAACGACGCCTGATATGGGGTGGGTTCTGGCCACGCACGTCTGTCGACACTGGCGCCAGGTGGCGCTCAATCTAGGGAAGCTGTGGGCGGGCGTGGTGTGCAGTCTTCCCAACGTCTCCTCGATGGAGGAAATCAAGAAGCGTGCAAGGTCTTGCCCCCTACGTGTCTTTATTATGAACAGCAGGACGCGGGTCGCCCGGATTGAGTTTGCTCTGAGAAATCTTGGACAGCTTCAAAGCCTTTCCTGCGAGGGGTCTTTTCGCTGGTGCGAGAACGTAGCGGACCGAGGCCCTCTGCTGTTACTTCGCGAATTGAGCATCGATCAGGAGCAAACCGATTCACGCACGGATCTGCGCTGTCTTTGCCTTGACGCTCCCGGCATGCAAAGGATGACCCTAAAAGACGTGATCCTCTCCCCTTGCCACTCTTCATTGTATCCGAATCTCCGGGACTTGTCCATCTCAGGGCAAAGCGCGTTGCCGTCACCTTCATATGAGATATTGGGCATCCTGTCGCACATGAAGGTTCTCGAGCACCTGCAGATGGAACTGTTCAAGACAGGGCCAAAACGACTAGGGCAATGGGACAAATACAAAGGCGACCCGGTCCATCTCGTGAAGTTGCGCGCCGCGAAGCTTATCGGCTGGGAGGGGACGGATGTACTGGGCCTCTTGTCAAAATTGGGCGCCCCGGCTCAGGCCCAGGTGGAGCTGATTGTGGCAGTCGAGGAGGAGGATTCACGTATCCTGGCCACTCTTTACGACCGGATGGTCGACCCAGTGCACGACACATGCGTCTTTGAGTCCAGCACCAAAGGCGGCGCTGTCTCATTCGTTTCGTCAGACGTCACTCCTTTTGGACATTGTAGCAAGGTTAGGGTGGAGATGCGCGGGAGGAGCATTGGCGGCGTCCTGTTGCTCCTTGTGGCAGAGTCTCCCCGGTTGGAGCACATCACTCGCTGGGTCTTAGAACCGACCAAGTCGATCGTCCCGTTCTTCGCGCGCAATCTCCTCAAGATTTGCCCCTCTGTTTGCGAGATGGTGATAAATGCAAGCAAGCCGGAAGACTTTGAATTTCTGTTCACAAGACTACCCGGGCATGGTTCAAAATATAGTCTCACCTGTCCCGGCCTACGTGTCTTGTCGGTCCGTCGTATCCCACCATCTGCACGGTGCTTCGAGGACGAGCAAGATTACGTGGAGTGGTGGTCCCAATTTCAAGCGGCAATCCAGCGTTATGCTGCGCTTGGTGGGAGACTCAGACAGCTGCGACTGGTGGGCGAATGGAGCTGGGACATGCCGAGAATACGGGTAAAGGACGGTCGGGCGTTCAACTACTTGTGGAACTCCCGCCTGGTAGATGATATCGTCGAGGAGCGACGTTGGAAGACTGAACCTTATTCTTAACCCTCACTCCGGTCCGTATTGTCGTTACCCGTTAGTGAACCCGGATTGAACTAGGAGGAAACATTTCCCTTTACGAACTTCAGGTCGAAAATCTACAGTGGTCTCATCATTTTGTCTTGTATACTGCCGCCAAGGAACATGTCTTACTTTCTCTTCATGTAGTAGCATTGCCTCATTATTGGTTATAAAACCTCACTTGAGTATGCGTTCAACAGTCGGACACGTTGTCTTGATAGCATTCCTGTTCCGTCAAGCCGGGAGAAGCCTGGGACTGAGAGAGCGGGTCTTCGTTAGAGTAACGAAGGCTGATGCCGTCAAGCCAACAGTTTTGCGTCGAAGGATGAATCTTAGGTTGTGTGGCACCTGTCCGGATGCAAAACAGTGCCAGCCATACTGGATGCAGGATGACCTGCACTGCTACCACCAAATAGAAGAGAGTACTTAATACTCATATCTAAGCTTGAGTGACACTCATCAAGAATACAGCTCTCAATGAACAGTCGTACTGAAGAAAGATCGATTGGTAGTTTCCGAGACACCGACTTGTGCGAGTTGTACTGGCAGGAGCAGTCCCAGCGCCGTTACCATTATCAAGACAGGCATGGACCCTGTTGATAAGCAGACAATGCTCTAGCCGCTTACAGGATTTCTAGCCCGACAAAAGATGCGCCTCTTGATTGACGGCTGTGGCGAGAAAGGTCAAGCGGCACTTACCCAGATGCCGAGCTGTGCGCGCTGTACTGAGCGAAGCATGACCGGCGCAGCTCTCTCAAGCGAGAGCAAGATACTTGCAATGTATATTTTGGCGACATCCTCACTCACCAAGGTCAACGCTCTCAGCAAAAAAACGCGCGGCTCAATTGATAGTCACACGAAAGAAGGTCGCATGGTGATTTTCTGGACACCAACTTGTGCGAATCGTACTGGAAGGAGAAGGGTCGGCGCCGTTACAGTTGCAAAGCTGAATATCGCTGGTATGCACAACTATACCATGGCATCGGCCATCAAGGGTAAGTCCCGCAGCATAAGACGCGCTTTTCGATTGAAGGTGGTGGTGGGGAAGTGTCAAGTGGCACTATCTGCACGGCAGGACTGTGCGGGTCGTACTGAGTGAAGGATGGTCGGCGCGGCTACACCTAGCGGGAGAAGCAGAGTTTGGATGTATACCTGGGTGGTAGTACTGCTTATCAAGCATAATGTACTCAGTAAAAGACACGCCTCTCAATTGATTGCAACCCTGGAAGAAGATCGAACGCCACTTACTGGGTTGCCTGAAAGGGCGAGTCGTACTGGAACGAGAAGGGCCGGCGCCATTATCATTGCACGGATTAATATGACCAGTATCCATATCTAGACGAAGGTGTAAGTCGTCAAGATTCCTTCTATCGGGAAAAGATGCGCCTCTTGATTGAAGGTGGTGGTGGTGAAGTGACAAGTGCCACTTTTCGCACGGCAGGACTGTGCGAGTCGTACTGAATGCAGGATGGCCGGCGCGGCTACACCCCGCGGAAACAGCTGAGTTCAGATGTATATCTGGGTGTGAGTGCTGGTTATTAGGCGTACTGTACTCACTAAAAGACGCGCTCCTCGATTGATTGCAACACTGGAAGAAGATCAAATGGCACTTGCTGGGATGCCTGATCGTGCGAGTCGTACACAAAGGTACAGAGCCGGCGCTGTCACAATCACAGGGCAAATTATGGCTGGTATGCATGTCTGTACGATGGTACCAGTCACCAAGGAACCCTCTCTCAGGAAAAGATGCGCATCTCGATTGAAGGTGGTGGTGGTGCAGGGTCAAGTGGCACTTTTTCGCACGGCAATCTGTGCGAGTCGTACTGAGTGAAGGATGGCCGGCGCGGCTACACCCAGCGAGGATATTCGACTTCAGATGTATACTTGAGTGTTGCTGACACTCATCAAACGCACCGCATTCATGAAATAAAGCGCCTCTCGATTGATGGCTACACTCGGGGACGGCCGTCAGGCACTGATCGGGACACCAGATCGCGCAAGATGTACTTAACGACATAGGGCTGGTACAGTGATCTTCAAGATAGACAGAATAACTGAATTGATGCTGTAAGTCACCACTCGAAATCCCGCGTCCCGCGGGGCCAACCTTGCTCGGGAGCTCTTGGTTGCGCGTCAAAAACTCGTTACCAGCTACCAAAAGTGCGGAAACTTATGCGATGATGATTTCGTTCATCCAGCACACAGGTGCATGGCCCATCGCGGCGCAGAGTATGTAGTCTGTGTCCAGGTCCTTTCACAAGCGAAACCCTACGTGCTTGCTTAGCTGCACTGTACAGAGTACCAATCGGTGCCGATGCCTCAGACGTTACACTTGTTTGAGCCGACACCGCAAACAAGTAAGCGGGGGCATACATTGGCTGCTTCCGCCTTTCTCCCACGGTGGCAGACCGTGCCTGGTGCCATTCCAGGGGGTGCAGGACCTTGCTCGTCCCTCGCAAGGTAAAGGGTAATGAACTCGGCAGATGGCATGCCTTTCGATCGATGGGTGCAACGGGGAAAGATGGAAATGAAGGGGAAAATTGCCGAGACATCAACAAAGTGGCTGATATACATGATGTCTGGCACATGTATATACCACCATGGCGATTCGTTAATGGGCTACTCATAACACATCATTGCGCCCCGGCGTGAGTTCAGTCAGTACTGTTACACCAGTTGCGCATGTGGCAGGCCAGCGATCTGGCTAAGTGATTATATAACAAGTAGCAATGCGGATCCTTCGTACTGCGATTTCTGTTTGTAGTCGTGGTAATGCTTTGCAATTTTTTTTTTTCATGGAGTGTCGTGTGGTGGATACGTGTACAACTGTGGTCAGCGCCAGATCTGTTGATGGGACATAGAAAGAGATATACCTAACAATCAACGGTTTTGTATGTGTCCGAGTGGCGGCGATGGTCATATCACTGCACCCACATGGGCTTTGAGAGGTACATAGCCGGGTCTCAAAGCCTGTTCTCACTGAAAACGTTTACCAGGAGCGTTTTCGAGCATCACTTTATATTGTCATTGGGAGTGTCCTGTAAGTAAGCACAAGTCTACACGTGCCGTGCTCGTAGGACTACCGGCGCGAGATCAAGTCTGACACAGCAGCATACTGATCTGTATGCGAGTACTCGGCTGGTTGTGATGTGGAGTACCAATACGTCTATGGAAGAGAGAGCAAGGATCTTGCAGACCGGTCAGACACACAACTGTGAACTGGAGAAACACCGCGCTTTAAAGAGTCCTGTACGTGTTTGACTGGCGGCAATATTTGGTTCGTCACGTAAACATCTGTCTGAGGGGCAGAGCTCTATGCGAGAGCTCTGCATGGACGGATCGCTATGCTCTGTCGATTATGACCGCTTTGCGTAGATATCAGGACAACTTCGTTGTGAAGGCGAGCGGGAAGTGGGAGCAGGCACATGATAAGGAGAAGGAGGGGGCAAAAAAGGCGAGAAACAAAGCGGATAACGAGCGCGTGTTGACAAAGAGTCAAGCCTAATGTGCGATGCTATGCAGTACAAACGCCATAAGTAAGAGCATCCTATTCTGTGCTTTCTGTGCTCCTGGTAATGAACTGACCCATCTCAAAACCCTCCGAGCGGAAAATCTCTTCTACTTCAACCACCACGGCCGACTTATCGATGAGCGCCTCTAAGCCGAGATTATTGTCCGCTTGCAGCATCGTGTTCTTGTCCGAGTCTGTGACTTCTTCAAGCCGATAGTACATGCTGGACATCATCAATGCCCTGCGCCGACGGTGAAAGTCGGCTAAACGCGCCGTCTGCACATCGTGCACTCCTTTCTCGAGCATGTCCACCGTCCGAGCCCTACTTGTGGCATGGCTTGCATCGAACTCGAAGAGGTGCCTGTCGCCGGTCTTAGCGCGGACACGACTAACCAGCATGCTCGTGATGATTTTGGGATGTGAGCTGCTCTTGTAGACCCCGAGGGTCTCACGAAATACGCGAAGAAGCCGGCGCCAGATGTTCGCTCCGGGAGAGATTTCACGTAGCTTGTCAACTGCAGCGTGTATTCCACGCGACATGTACAGTTACTATTTGTCTTGTGATTACATTTAGCAAAAGAATATGCTCGTAGCTCACCTTGAGAATATGGATGAGACGTTTCTGATCTTCACAGCATGACGTGTTCATCAGCATGTTGTCTAGCACGATGTCGCTGTATGCGGCATCAATATGACAGCTATATGCGCCGTATAGCTCAGCAAAACGCACTCAAAGTCCTCCGGCCAGTCTTTCCGTAGGTTTTGAATGAAGTGCAATAGCTCGTTCCAGTAGTTGTGGCCGCCCGCTCCGGCAAACCAAATCGTGGCCTGCCCCAGGAGTATCTCGACACGACCGAAGTCACTGGACTTGACTGCGTTGAAGATGGTGTAAAAGAGCAGCACATCACGATAGATCAGTGTAGTACCGCGTCGAGTGGTGTCCTCGGTGCTAGGATTGAAAGGGTCCATACGGAAGTTATCATCTGTCGCGGTCGCAAAGTCCGCAATCACTTCAGCGCTAAACTCGAGCATCTTTTCGGCCGTGACGCCACAATGTGAATCTCCTACGAATGCTTCGGTAGATGCATAGCCGTGCCTCTTTGAGCACAAGCTCGAACGCATATATGGTAAGCCCGCAGGGAACCTGATTTAGTGTAACCTTCTGAATGATAATCGGGGTGCGCCTCTTCTTCATGAGATCTATGAACGATGCCAGAGAGCCATGGTCCCCGATCGCGAGTCCGTGCATATTTAGAATTGCCCAGGTTAGGTTCAACAGCAGAGGGAACAGTGCTGGCCCGACCTGAAGACTGGTAGGCATTAATATCATTTACGCGCTGCTGCCGGGCGCTTCGGATTTGCGCCTGGGTAGCGCAATCGTTGATCGATAGGATGGCGTGCAGAACGCAGTGAGTCTCTGGATCAATGTTCAACTGCTTGTATGCCTCGCCCACGCCAGCTATGTTGCCATCGTGCGTATTCTTGGCTGTGGTCGTAATGCGAAGAGGTGCCTGCTCCGTCACAAGGTTCTTCGGAGGTGCACGATGAACCGGCCCGTAGACTTCATTCGATGCGCTCGAATAAAGGCTCGCTGTGAAGAATAATCTCGACCAGTAGGCGTGGCTGCTGATGAAGCTTGTCGTCGATGTCAGCCTCGGTGGGCCGGACATGTTCTGGCAATGTGATAGCATGCAAGAGATTGCGTCTTGCAATGACATGCTCGAGAAGAAGATCGCGGGTGTGTGCAGCCATGCAAAGAGCGTATACAACGAGCACTGTGCCGATCCTGACACGCGCTCGAGCTCCGGGTCTCTGTTCTTAATGAATGAAAGTCGAGATCTGCCAGTTATCCTAGCACAGAAGATGTGCGCCGAGGGTAATTTCTGCAGCTCTGTCCATGCACCGGCCAGAACTGGCACTCCGTACGACTCCAAGAGAATTGTAGCTGATCGAGAGACCTATCCTTACACAGATATATACAAACTGTCGAGGATTCCCGACAGCCCATTGTGCAAGAGTGAAAGGCCTGGCGAAGAGCTGGGCATTCTGTGAACGATGATGAATGATCTGTAATAGGACAACCATGACGGGCTATATGCAGGTGTCAAAGCCTAAAGAGGGTTTGTTTCGCACCGATTACGCACGTCTTCTGGTGTCTTCTTCCCAGTATTCGTCTGTTCGGCAAGATTGGATTGAGCGGCCGATCAAAGCAGATTTGAATGTTCTTGAAGCCGTCCTTTCAAGCACTGGCCGTATAGTGCCATCGATGCTGCAGTCCAAGAGCCACTGGGCCGTAGTATCTTCTGAACGAAACTGAAATCCGGCCACTGCTGCATTCATCTTCTCAGATATGACGTCTCAAGCACGATCGTCCAATAGATTGTCCTTGTACCAAGCCTCCAAGTTATCACGAGCAGTGGGATGGGCTTTCCACAGATCAAGCACATGGCGTAGGTTCCAATCGCTCTCAATAAGACTCTGTGCATGGTCTACAACGCTCTCTGGAGCATTAATCTTAAAGAAGGCCTTCAGGAACAGGGAGTTTGCATCTCTGCGCTGCGATTCCCGTATCTGTTCTAGGGAAGCCATGACAAAATCTCTGACGCGCACACGAGGTCTAAATGCAGCTCCGAGAGTGACCGGACTGGTATCATCATCCGGGAACAATCTTTGCTCGTCCGAAGACGTGAACCTACTGTACGTCGTATAACGCGCCATTGGCTCGAGCGGTAAGATACTTTCCGGATCAGAAGCCGGGAACAGTAGAGGCTCATGATAGGCGTGTAAGGCAACTTGCCGTACGTCCACCAAGGCAACGGTAAGCTGGATACCTGAGCCGGGTACGATAGGGTGGGTATCCAGGCCGTAGTCGGTGCCCGAACTGTTCATTGTCACTTTTCACTTGTCACATAAGGGTTTGAACTGGTTTGGCGGTAAACAGTTGGGTGTATCACGCGTAACGCTTGAGGACCCCGAGCAGTGGGTTGTTTTAGTACAGTATACACAAGCAGCGCACACGGTTGATTGATGTCGTGTTAACAAACATATTCTTGCCATTACGTGTCATGTAGGATGCGCCTCCTTAAGGAAGACTCACAAAGTGTGAATAGCAGTATGTAAGGTTGGCCAGATAGATCGTAAATGTAGTGTAGTTGACAGTGTGGAAGGTAAACTCAAAGAAGCTATGCTCCAATACGTCCGGATACAAGTAACTGAGTCTCCATTCATGTATCAAGCCAGAGGGAACGGTGATATGCAGACCCGATGTTTCTCGACCTCGCTCAAAGCTCTCCAAAGTAAGCATCCCATACCCCAGCCTCCTTCATCCTACAATCATCGCAGAGACGGCTGCCCAAAGTACCATCACCGGAATTTCGGGAAGTGGTGCTGTGACTGCAGTGGAATCCATGCGCTGGACCCCTATCCCCCGTCTTAGCAGAGACCAGTGCAATAAGACCATCGAGTGAGGTTACAC